TCTTCCCTATGTACATGCCACTAATTGCACCTGGACTGAATCGAGGGATGACTTCTATCTCGACTGCTCCGGGGCTTTTCTTGACCAACTATTATAAACACTATGGTCGAGTCCCAGTAGGATCCCCGGGCCCACACGGAAATGCATCCAGACGACGGACGACGAGCAATCATAGCCAAAAAGACTTAGAACGCATATCACCACGAATTGTTCCTGTTAAACCCAAAACAACATGCATGAGAAATAACATCACCTTAATTGTAACGGTGGTCTTATTTTGGCTGAAAGCTTATAACTCGCTAATACTTCAATACAACACACAATGTACCTTCACAGTCTTTTCAGCTATGCAATCATAGCAACAGCAACAACAAAATCATTGGCAACCGCTAACGTGACTTCATTTCAAAAGTGACCTCGTGACTAATTACAAATATGGGACCAAAAATGTGCAACCAGTGTCCACGAACCAGATTCGTTCTGCTGTCCTACGTTGCACATTGAGCAGCGCCGTCTAAAACAATCGGTAAAACTTGACCATTTTGTTTGTTTTTTTTCATCTACACTGGACTTGCGAACGGTTGTCTCCGGTGGGCAATTACTATCGAGTGAAACTACAACTTTTTTCATCAAGCTTTAGCCAAAACCCGTGGTCGTTGACGCACAAACTCTAGTCATACCGCCGGAGGCGAGTCAGATAACAAAAAAGAATGAGAACATTATGAATTCAAAAAAGGTTGAAACATTTTACTTTCTAAAAATGTTGATGTTGCAAAGTTTCACTCTGAAGAAGAGACGTGGCGGTCGGGCACTGAACCATAAATTGATCGGAAACGATTTAAACGATGTGCCCGTCTCGTCAAAATCATGCGATACTCCGATTCGTACAAATCTCAAATGTAACACAAACGGTACATTGATTTGCATTCACAAGCCCTGAAATAAATCACGAAGTAAACGCTTACTGTTCCGTATGTCTACCTAAAGTTCACTCGGTTCTTGACATGTGGATACATTAACAGGCTGAGGATAATGAACATCATATACAAAATACTATCAGTTTATTAACGCTGCGACAGTTGACATAATTATCACGGTCAAGGTTCAAGAATTACACGTTTTGGCTAAAGCTTGATGGGAAAAAAGTGTAGTCCTCCCTCAGAAATAGATATCACAATCATACGATAACTTTTCACGCACTTCACCTAAGAAAACACGAGAACCCCTGTGCCAAACTGGATACAACCCCAAATAAACCCAATATGTAAGGAAGAACAATCCGAACCAGATCCAAGCAACAAGCAAACATTTTTGAACTGGGAATCATTTTCATCATGCACCACGTTCCGAGGCTAGGTACTGATGGCAATGGTGGTGGTGTTGGTGTTGGAGAGCACAAGGCGAGGTGATAATAACCAGCCAGCCAGTCAGCCGGCCGGCCGGCCGGCTAGCTCGTCATGCAATCCGGTATGAGGGATGGTCAAGTGAATGGAAGCTGGAAAAAACGATGAATGGGAACGAGAAATATCGCGAGTACAACTCAATTATTAATAAGGCGGATGAATGGAAGTGGAAGACGAACCAAGAGAATCGTGTTCCACAATCTACATAATAATCACGGCCTGTTGGCGTGGTGTGGTGGGGGCATATAGATGGCGGTCTGAAATGAACTGTCGATTGACCGATGAGTACTATAGATTACTGAGGGACGAAATCACGTGAGTGGTGGAGTAAACAGAGTACTTATGCATGGTTGAATGTGCGCGTTTGATCAGTAATCGGTAAAAGACTATAAGACAAACACAGCCCAATGTTGGAGGATAGGAGTGCTTGTGGATAGATCTTGATGTCTGTGAGTTGGAGGGGAGGCAAAGAGAGACAGAGGCACACGCGTGAATATGAAAACTGTTACTTCGCCTAATAAAAGATACATATGGGTATTGTGCAACTGGTAGGCAGAAGTAGCGTAGGCGAACACGGAGACAGACTATGCGCAAATTGAAGATGAGCACACAGACAACGAGAGTTAGAAATGGGGAAAAAATTGAAAACAGAGAACAGAAACATGTGCGTGTGTAGGTCGGAAGGAGGCACAACGGAGTGAGATGAGGGAATGATGATCAACACGGTGTGTGTGTGGGG